AGTTTCATGTTTAATGAGTAAAGTATATAATGATGATGATGATGATGATGATGATGATGATGATGATGATAATAATAATATCCACTTTTATGTATTATTTCCTGCCCTTATTCACTCTTATTATATATTGCCTTTATTTTTATTATATCCCACCTTTATTCATTATTTTCATTATATCCCGTCTTTTCACCATCATATCCTGCCTTTATTTGTTATTACTGTGGCTAGGCCACACAGTGAGCCAGATGTTCAGACTGGATTTGGCATTTTCATCCACCTGTTGCGTCCTTCCCAAGGGCCTGGGATAGGCAGATGTGAATAGTGGATGGAATTATTTATTTACAGGTAGTCCTTGATTTACAACAGTGCGTTTAGTGAATGCTCAAAGTTACAACAGCTCTAAAAAGTGACTTATGGCTGTTTTCACACAATCGTCGCAGCATCCCCATGGCCGTGTGATCAAAATTCAGACACTCGGCAACCGATTCATATTTACAACGGTTGCCGCGTCACAGTGATCCCCTTTTGTGACCTTTTGACAAGCAAAGTCAACGGGGAATCCAAATTCACTTAACAGCCATGTGACTAATTCAACAGCTGCAGTGAATTCACTTAACAAGCAAGAAAAGTCGTAAAATGGGGCAAAACTCTCTTAACAAATGTCTCACAATGCCACGGAAATTTTGGGGGTCGGTTTGTGGTTGTAAGTTGAGGACAACCTGTATGGGCCGCCCATCTTACCACAGGGTGTAACTTACAATCTATAAAGATAAAAATTGTATCTACTAAAAAAAACAAATAAATACAAATCCCTACCCTACGGTTCAATTAAAGATGGGGTGGGCGGGAGCAGAATGGGGTTCCCCGCCAAGCCAATTGTCACAGTCCGGTCTTTAGACTCTTATGGAGCCCCAGGAGGGTTGGAGCTGACCTCACTCCAAGGGGGGAGGGAGATGTTCCAGAAGGACATTATCTCATCTTTGTTGTTATTATATAATCAGAATGTATGGGAATCCAGCCAAGTGAGTTTTGGTAGGCTTGGAGGGGTGGCCTGTTGTGGCCCGCCAGCGGCCAGGGCAGTTAGCAGCAGATTCAGACAGTGAGGAGGTTGGGGAGGAACCTGGGCCAGTCCTGGAGTCTGGAGAAGGCTCGGATGAGGGCTCTGTGTCGGAGGCAGAGAGGGGGCCAGGGCCGCCTGCCAGTTTTCAGCTGCCTTCAGAGTCAGACATCAGCGAGGCAGAAGGACAGCTGGAGCCTGTTCCCAGTGTGTGCGTGCACAGTTGCCAGATGAACAGAAGAGCGAAACAACGGGTTGACTTGGGAGGAAGGCCGCAGGTGGACGGTGAATGGCCCCTCCCACAAGAAAGAAAAGAGGAGCGAAAGGGGAGTGGAGTTTGCAGTAGACAATTAGTTCGCTTAATTGGTTTGTGACTCTCAGAGATTCCTTGCCAAGTTTTGCAGAGATCGGCCTGGCAGCTCTCCAAGCCAGATAAGGTCTGTGACCATAAATCCCCCTTGAAAGACTTTGCTGGATTGAATGAGCAGAATTCACAGCAAATGAATAAAGCGTTTTTTGTCGGGAAAAGGAGTTGCTTCCTGCTCTCGGGAAGCCTCGGTCAGAACATGGCCGTGGTTTATGGTGGCTTAAAGCAGGCTGGGGAATTCTGGGAGTTGAAGTCCGCCAGGCTTAAAGTCGCCAAAGCTCCATCAGTGGGATGCAGGCAGCAAACGAAACCACGCCCCCTCCAGTCCACGGAAAAACCTTTCCACGGAATTGGTCCCTGGTGCCCAAAAGGTTCCTCTAAATAACTCTTGCAGAGGATGGTGGACAAAACAGCCCTGGTTAACGATAGACCACTCAACATGCCTGTCCATAACCCAGTCAGCCACACGGGGGCTTAATGTGAATGCTGCTTCTTGGGACACGTGATGTGAAAGTCCAGCATTTTGGAAAAGGCATTAATATTGGGAAAAGTGGAAGGAGAGAAAAGAAGAGAAGGACCCTCACAGGGGCAATGAAGGCACCATTTCAAAGAAAACCTCACTATCGGTGCTGGTATCCACTTACTTTCCCTACTGGTTCACAAATTTGAGTCCGCACTTTGCTTGCACACGCCCCGTCTGTGCAAGCGCTCGGCCTCCCGCGTATGCGCTTTGTTCACACGTGCGGCTTGCATGCATGTGCGCAGATTAGAAACATGTCCAAATAGGATGGCATGGAGCGGGGGCGAGTGGGTGGCCCCACCCGTGATTTCCATTACTGCCTGAATCCCACCTTTGTGAACATGGACTTTATTATTATTATTTTACATTTTTGATCAACTCCTTTTATCTTTTCTATCCCCCAGGTGCTGCTTCCTCTCCCCCCAGGCGGAGGTCCGAGAGAAACATGCCTTCCTCAACTCGTCCAGTGTCCCAGGGTAACCCCACTGGGGTGGCCAGGAAAATGATAGCCACCCCGGTACGACAAAAGCATTGTTGGGTTCTTTCATTCATGGAATTGGAATAGCAAGAATAAAATAGAATAGCAATATAGAGTAGAGTAGAGTAGAATAAGAATAGAATAGAAATATAGAATAGACTAGGAATATAGAGTAGAGTAGACTAAGAATAAAAATAGAATACGAATAGAATAGAAATATAGAATCGAATAGAAAAGAATAGAGTAGGAATATAGAGTAGAGTAGACTAAGAATAGAATAGAATAGAATACAAGTAGAATAGAAATAGAATAGAATAGGAATATAGAATAGAATAGAAATATAGAATAGTATAGAATAGGAATATAGAACAGAGTAGAATAGCAATATAGAATAGAAATATAGAATAGAATAGAAATATAGAATAGAATAGGAATATAGAATAGAGTAGAGTAGACTAAGAATAAGAATAGAATACGAATAGAATAGAAAAATAGAATAGAATAGAAATATAGAATGAGAATAGGAATATAGAGTAGAATAAGGATAGGATAGAATAGAAGAGAATAGGAATATAGAATACAACAGAACAGAATTCAAAATAGAATTTAGAATAGAATAGAATTCTTTATTGGCCAAGTGTGTTTGGACACACAAGGAATTTGTCTTTGGTGCATGAGCTCTTTGTACATGAAGAAAAATACAATAGAATACATTCTTCAAGAAATAAGATACAACACAGTGTTAGTCATGGGTTAATAATAAGTAATCAATTATACTAGGAAACAAAAGAATATAAATTTTAAAGATACGAGCAACATGGTTATAATAAGTGGGAAGAAAGATACTAGGAAGGAAAAGAACTGTAATACAGTTTTAGTAGATAATTTGACAGTGGCAAGGGAATTAGTTGTTTAGCAGAGTGATGGCATTCGGGAAAAAGCTGTCCTTGTGTCTAGTTGTTCTGGTGTGCAGAGCCCTATAGCATCGTTTTGAGGGTCGGAGTTGAAACAATTTATGTCCAGAATGCGAGGGGTCTGTAGATATTTTC